AACAAAAGCAGCTCAAATATAAAAAATCAGAAACTTCTCAATTTAGCCAAACAAAATTTCAGTAAAATAAAATAAGTTGCAATATAGGTGTAACATGTCTGATGTTTAAACTAGCTCTACAGGAATCAGTTAACAGGCTCTTGAGTGATTTATTGCTTTTGATACTGAAGATTACTGCTCCTGTGGTACTAAGTATGGACAAAAAACAAAAAACATAAAATTAAAAGGAAAATGATGCTAAAAGGTTAACAGCTGAAGCTGTTGTATAAATAACTTGGGAAATTCCTGATAAATTCTGCTGTCAGGGCAGAGGAAAAAATGGAATTATTTGTTTTATTTCATAATTTTTCAGCTTTTCATTTCACTGTACATTGATGATTTTGCTACAGTTAGTGTTAAAGTAGAGAAAATAAGAGATAGAAATATACAGTTTTCACCAAAAAACTTTTGATATTCATTAGAAGGTTCTATAGGTTATGGAAATGAAATACAAAATCTGTAAGGTGACAAAAAGTGTTTTTATTCTTAGCACAAGTCACTTTTCACTCAGATTAACTCAGTACAGGCTTCATAAGTTCACAAAGAAATCTTTAGTAAAAATATTTTGATCAAAAAAAATTTGATTTTTTTGTGTGCAACAGAATTGTAATGTTTACTAATAGCTTACCAAATTTCAAGAAAATACACATAAAATTCAGAAATATACTAAATACTATTATGTATTAGCTTCACAGATACAGGGTCAGTTAATTTGACTGAGTCCATAATGAATATTCCTCATGATCATTAATAATTTTCACAAAGTACAATTCGTTGTTAAAATCTTTATGATTACCTTGTATTAATTTTTGTTGTGTCCTGCAACAACATCTACTGGTTTATCATTCGTGTATTTGCTTTGCTTCAATTTTGAGAATACCTGTTCAGTTATTGTAATTTAAAGAACACATTAAAAACAAAACTTGCATGAATATTATACATATAAATACTTAAATAATGTTTTGTGAAAATGATAAAAATAGATTTTCTAAAAATATTTCAATTTTAGACTTTAGCATTTTTTTCATTGGCCGCTAATTAACTAACTACCACTCATCCATTATATAAAGCTGTAAGTTTATTTTAGATGAAATCCTGGTAGTACCGACATATGTGTTAGCATTTATTTGCTAAATAGAAATAAGAAGAGTTTAGAATTATGCCAAATCTTCCTTACCGGCAACGTAAAAATCCAATAGTCCAATGCCTCGGACTACCAATTTTTGAGTTCAGTCTACCGTGAATAGTGTGGTTCTAGTTGCATGAAATGTGTGTATGAATGTGTAAAATTCAACTCTATATCTAATTATTAAAATACATAAAAATGAAAATGCCACCTGGTATTTTCTCTTTCAAATCATTAAATATCTACTTTCACCTGATACAAACATGTGTGACTCAGTTATCAACTTAAGATGTCCAATTATTTAATTTCATATTTATATCAATTTCTAATCCATGTGATTATTTTTCATTAGAATATTTATTTTTAAATGCAAAGTTTTTCTGATACGAAATGAAACAGCTATGTTTGGGAAAATGAGTTGGACATCCCACTCAGAACTCTATTGCTTTTTAACAAGATACAATGAGGTATTCAAAATGTTTGGTCACTGTGTAGTTGTTTTATTTTTGTTGTAAGTGAAAACTGGTTAACCTGCCCATAGATTTTTTACACTTGTATCGCATATGCTGTGGTAAAATTAGATTATCCTTAATGTGGCAGAAATACATGTCTTTTGTATATGAACTGATTATGTGACAGATGGCATTTTAGTTTTATCTTTTATTATAACTGTGCAACAACTTAATCATTATAGTGAAAATATATGTATATACATATTTGGGTTAGTACCTTTTTCACACCTACTAGCTTGGGACTAGTACACCAAAAATTTGTCAAAATAGTTGAAAAGCTCAAGAAAACGTTTTTAACAGATAAGCTAAGATAAAATAAGTTTATCAATGAAGAGCCTGCTTTAAAACACTTTCACATGAAAATTAACAATTACTGTAACTGAAAATAAGATATAGCAGAACCAGATCCTACTGTTTTAAATTCACCTTTTGCTTGTCTTCATCAGCACGAGCATCACTGCGTACATTAGCCCATGGAAGATCCTTTGGCCACCAGATGGGCCGAGTTGATTCTTTTCCCCATCCTGGTTTTCCTCGGCCAGTTGAATATTTTAACATGAGTGGAATAAATGCCCGAAGCTGAGCCTACCAAACGAGAAAGAGAGAGAAAAAAATTAAAAGTTCCTGTAACAATTCAAAAACAAGGACAAAATTGAAATAAAGCACCCCACTCCAAAACAAAAGTTTCTACTTATGGAATTATTTGTTGTTTAACTTTTATGCAACCAGTGGCAAAATTGAATAACAGTTTTTGTAATATACTGAAGTATCACAAAACATATTACAAAAAAATTTACTTGTTTGTTCCAACCAATTACAAACACAAGCTATAGATAGAACATAGTAGGACAGAAAATTTGAATCTTTTATATTCTCAATTTGCTGAGATATTAATAAATTGGTGAAGTTCATCACTGAAGATCCTCCCATCTAATCATATCTTATTTTTGGCAGTCATACACAGACAGTTGGCTTCAAATTCTTTATCTGTGATTGTTGTTTTTCAGCTCCAAACAGCTAATGGAGTTTTTCAGACATTATATTCTAGTGCCTGATATATTTGTGTTCTAAGATGAATATTTAAAAGTTGCATGAATTTTTTACTTGCACAGTTAATTTAGTGAAAAAAAAATAATCAAACCTAGCACATTTACAGCTTGCACTCGCAAAGATCACGAGTCACACACTTTGCTGATGGTGTGTACAACAGATGGGTATTGGACTTTTGTTTCATTTTTGCTTTTGATTGAGAATGGTAGTCCAAAGTAAGGGCAATAAAACAATAAAATTAAAATAAAACAGGTGTGAAAAGATTTTAAAGACCACCAGTCTAGCAAAATGATGCAATGAAATATGAATGGGAAAAAAAATCTTCATTCTATTTTATTTTTTCAACTTTTCATTTCACTATACACTAACACTGGGTGAAAGGCTGTGTCATTGTGTTTGTTGACTCGCATTAAAAATTTTATGGAACTACAATTTCATGCATTTATGTCAATAAGTCTGATATCAAACTGTGGAATATAATTCAAATTTTAGTATTATACTTTACTCAATTTCTTAATTTAGAAGCGAATATTAAAAAACACAGTTAAACATTGATTTTTGTGTGTCATGTGGTATGTTGAATGCAGCATCGGTTCAAATTGGATGTTTGTGGAGTCAAAATACAAATCTATAGTTTTGTACGAATTAGAAACTCAAATTACCAATATTGAGAAGCTAGAATATAAAATAAGAGCCTCTTTTCAATTTGCTAAGATATTGGTCATATAATAAATCACACACAGTGGCACCCCACCTACTTCATTCCATTCTTGGAAACACTCCCATATATACAGTTACTTTTATAAATGACATGAATAATCAATTAAAAGCTCAGAATGTCCTCCTAGTGGCTTTCTGAGCCATTTTAACATGTTTGGATGCCATCTCTTTCAAGGAGGTAGGTCATGTCTTTAGTCTGCTCAAAATTTCATATTTTTTTAAAATGAAATACAACTCAGTTAGTAAGCTCGATAAATTATTGTGAAATTCTATGGTATTGATGTAGTAATTTATGATTTTTTGGTTATATATATAAAACCTAAAAAAGTTATTTTGTTTCAT